GTGGATGGAGTAGCATAGCTTTTACCTTGTAGAAATGAATGACCGCCTACCTTCACTTTTGGAGCTGTTCCACAACCGCTCGTTTTCCTCAGTCAAACCCGTATCTTGGAACCGTTGTATTCCGAGGTCTTCGTAGTCATCTTCCACGTGGTCAGCTTTCAGGTGAACAGCCGGGAACATAAAAAATGTCGAAACCACGAAAATCGTCACTCCTCGAAAAGTGACCACCTGCGAGGCGAGTCGCAAAAGCATCCTCACTGATGACCACCGTGACGGAGTCTCCTAAATATGGCAATCGTCGGTCACTGACGCAAACGGGCACAACCGAGCGCTGGCGAAAATGCAACAACCAGAAGAAAGTGGTCATCCACGGATCCAGTGGGCCGCCAGAAGGGGCGGGCGACTGACGTCCGAACTTCTTATCGGGTCAGCAAGGTCATCTCAAAAGTGTAAACCACAATATGATGGCCAACGTCGTTGAAAGGTGACACGGCCGTCAAGGACGAGCTGGCAGCCGGAAGACCGGACAAACGGGCCGAGCGAAAGACGGAAAAGTTTCCCCCCTACAAACGACCCTCAACATCCATGCAGCTTTCTCTGCCGACGGAGGCCGTCAATCATCAAGCACCCTTGCAACCTGTAGTGTTGCGAAGACCACGTTGGTTTTGGTCTCGGAAGCTGTGACCGTAGTTACCAACCTGGCCGATTGGACCACGGTCGATGACCGGCCGGCTCTACGATGCGTAACAGGATTACAACGACAAACCTGGGAACGTCACAATGTCCGTCGGATCATCTGTGCCGTGCGAGACTTTCACATCACTACTTGCCCTCGACATACACTGCCAGAACGACGTTTGAAAACATCAGGTGCGCCGGTTTGTTTGAACTAAATTTTTCCACGCGAAACAGCAGTCATGGAGAGTTGATGTTTTATGACTAGCCGCTTTTCCAATTAGCAGTTCTGATCTATTAAATCCGGATTTGTTGCCGTACCTCTCTGCTATGTGCAAGCATTCCAATTATATAGCTGCTGCTACGAGAAGACATAACGTAGCGAATTTGGCTGTGTCAGCGACGTAGAGAACGAGGTCGATTTTTCAAGGCATGGTGGTGTTAAAAATGTTCTTTTGCAGGGTATACAAGTAAAAGTATCACAAACGCATACCTCTACGTAATGGACGTTCCTTGTTCGTAGGCATTTAAGCAGCCGATATTTATTGACCTATTAGAACATAGAAAAATATTCGTTGAGTATTTCAAGAAAGCTGAATACAGCAGCTGGCTCTTGAAATGAGGCTGATCATGAAATTATTTCGTTGTACTACTACAATGCTGTTAAATACGTCTACGGGACTTCGTTAAGTGGCCTTCCTTACCACTATGAACAACATATGAAACATATGGTGAAAACCGATTACGCGCGCTCATGAGGTTAGAGATACTCAGTGTGGGTTTAAAAGATTTCAGCCACTGACAATGCACTGAATTCGAACAATTTTTGTCAGTTAAGCGTTCAACCAGTTTATGAATTCAAACAGGCGCTTCAATGGACATTAGAATGCGTGATGACGGTTGTGAAAAATTACTTAAAGACAGCTAAATGATATCTAAAACTTATTTTAACTCTATTTTTATCGTCACTAAACTTCATTGGTTATAGACATCAGGAAACACAGTTGGTTACCTTTACTGTACCAGCTGACATTTCAGCAAAATTACCTTCGCCATCTTCAGGGCAATCATGGTTTGTTTGAAATCGCCAAATTATTTTGTCTTCAATAAATTGTCATTTCAAGGGTTCTTTACACATGGAAAGTTTCAATGTTTCGTTTACCTGCCCCTACCCTACGGTTATCATCTGACATATACAATATTGAACTTCCCTTGTTACTGCCGTTTAACCATTAATAACTTAAATCATCAACTAATGTATTTACATACCCAAGTGACAGGTGCAAATGAAATATCGTCATCAGCAATTTCTCCACGTACTGTAATGACACTGAACATCTACTGAACGCAAATGCATGACTTACAGACGCTTCATAGTTTCACCTGTGTATTTATATAATGGTAATAATGTTACGCATATACAGTCGGACTTCGAACGGGACGCATTGATCTTGGTGCAAAACGTGAGGACTTTCTCAAAAGCGTAAATACGCTAAGTAAACCAGCATCGAACCATCCAGGTGAAAAACTGCCACCTCTTAATGTTCTGTAAGTTCTGTTCTTGTAATTCGTGAAACAAGTTCTGGAGTACGGGAAAATACAGCAGTACAAATTAAGTGATTTTTCATATGCATATTATTCAAGCCGATAAAGTAATATTTGTATATCGCAGATGTCAAAAAGCAAACACTTCAAAACTACTGGGCCGTAACACAACATCTTAAGTATAGTCAGGAGGTTCAAGGCAGCGAATAGGCTTCTAGACAGGCTCTCGCAACAGGCAAAGCGATGTCCCGAAATCCTTTTTTCAGAAGATCGCGATGTTTCATTCATAAGTCATTCAGATTCAGGAGTAGAATCAGCCGAAAGCGTGAAGCGCGCCAAAATCAGCATCCGGAATGTGATTTTTGATGATGCTATGAAACTCTGTCAAGGTCCAAATGACCAGCCGCTTTCTTCAGGCTTTTCTGTCGCGGTAGAGAGGAACAACCTTTCGACGTATGGCGAAATGGGTGAAACTTGATTTTCGGAGGAACCTGAAAATCACAGCTACTCTATGAATTCAGACGTTTGACTACTAACCTTTCGACACCGAAAGAGGTCGGACGGAAGACAGATAATTTTCTAACGACAAACGCTTTTTTGGGAACTTCATGAAAGGGTGTTTAAGCAGTTCCCTTGCCGAGGGCCTGAAAACAGAAATCAATTTTCTGACTATCAACACATCAAGAACTGCAAAATAAACTGTTTAATGAATGAGCCTGGCTTAAAAAAACGTAGATACGTTATTGGGTTGATAAGGAAGGAAAGAGTTGGTACACAGCAGTAACTTTTACTAACAATGGTTTGGTTGCAGTCTGATCCAAGCACCACATCCTGTTCAAATGATGGAAGAGGTGATGCATCACTCCGCCCTCTTCAGAAATATATTGGAATTTGTCAATAATCGTTCTTTCTCTAGACCAATTTGTTTCAGGACGATGCTCACGCAAGCGAAGAAAGTCACTCTGAGGGTAAACGCAGAGAAATCGGTCAAATTTACGTTCTCCAAGAA